CAGCTACTCAGTGCTGCACGGAGTGACAACTTAACGCCTACATGGTCCAATACTGCACAGTACTACTGGTCTACTGATGTTTTTGATGTTCAAGATCCTTTGCTAAAGTCAAAGTTTTTTTCCAATCAAATTTAGTATTTGTTTGAGTATCAACGCATTTGTTTAATTTATAGTGAATAAGTTATGGATCTGTTAATTTAATAAGTTAATAAAGTATGGTTAACATCTCACATACAACTCCGACGAAAGGCAATTTTTTTGTTATCTCATTGTCACACTTTGTTAACGTTGTTTGTGATAGAGTGATTTATTCACACTGATTTCAATAGCAGATAGCTTATTATAATGTCCATTGGTACTGATCTTATTACTTTCCTAGAAAATACGTTTTGAGAATGATACCGGCATACCGTCGGGCCTGTGGTCATTGTGGCCCCGAGGACTCTGGCCCCCGCTGCGGCCGCCGGCAGGCGTCCCTTATTTTTTTGTATTGAAGGTGGCAACCCTATTCCTGGTAACTAATGATTCTTTTCCTCTCATATACATTTTTTTTTCTTGTTTATTATTTATCGCTGTGCCCTGTTTACAAAATATGGTATTGTTGATCTCTTGCACTGTCGATCGATGCTGTGATGTAATCTCGTTGACAATCGATTGTTATTATTATTATTAGTTTCAAAGGGATAGTTCACCCAAAAATGAAAATTCTGTAATAATTTACTCACTCTCAAGCTGTTCCAAACCTGTATGAGTTTCTTTCTTCTGCTGAACACAAAGGAAGATTGAAGAGTGAAGAGTGTTGGTAGTCAAACAGTCGACGGTAGCCATTAACTTCCAGATTAATATTTGTTTTCCTACTATGGAAGTCAATGGCTACCGTCGACTGTCTAGTTTCCAACATTCTTCAATCTTCCTTTGTGTTCAGCAGAAGAAAAAAACTCATACAGGTTTGGAACAACTTGAGAGTGAGTAAATTATGACAGAATTTTCATTTTTGGGTGAACTGTCCCTTCAATTGTAGTATCTGCATTGTTGGCAAGATAACAAGTGTATTGCTGTTCACATTGTTTTAATGCACTTCAGAATATTAAATACAAGATATTAACATGGTTAACTTTTTTTTTTTTTTTTACTTGTCTCAACTGCTTAGTTGCCACCCCTCAGAGGTCTCTTTAATGAAGGGCAGGTATTGTTTCTCTATTACCAGCGAAGATGTTTCATTGAAATCTTATGATACTAAGTTATTGAAAACCTGCAAAGAAGATCAGAAGGCAGTTACATGCTTCTGACACCAGCCCTAATCCAATTAATACTGTAGCACTACAACAGGGATAGTTAAAGGAATAGTTAAAAAACGTAAATTGTCATTTACTCTCCCTCATGTCATTCCAAACCCGTAAGACTTTCATTCATCTTCAGAACACAAATGAAGCTATTTTTAATTAAATCTGTGAGATTTCTGTCCCTCCAATGAAAGTCTGTTCAACCAAAACTCTTGATGCTTCAAAACATTTATGAAATTGTAAAACAAATCTATATGAATGGAGTACAAACATTGATCAGTGAACATAAATAAAGTTCAACTGTACCTGCTTGATACACAGGAATGAACCTCTTTAAATTAAGGTGAAGGTCATGAGTAATGGATGTGCCAAAAGGTAAATTGCTAATACAGAAAATAAGCCTGTGATAATATTTGTGTTTGCAAAGTGTCAGAAAAAGAAGCTGTACCTTGTCATCTCCTCATTCTGACATTATATGGCTTCACTTTCAGTCAAACATGTTTTGATCACTCTACTACATCAATTCCAGTGTAATCAAGATTCCCACACAGCAAGTGCATGGCAGCTGATTAAAGGCATTCATTATGACACTACACTTGGTGATATTGATATGGGTGCATTATCTTACTTGTGTTTCTTCTGTTACTACTATCAGTGAAAATAACCCAGCTGCTAGCTGGCAGTGCGTGACCCAAAACCTAGACAGCATAGTGAAAACAACCCAACAAAAAGGACTGAACCCAGAATATATATATAAGCCCAAACAATTTTAACATGTATCATATAAATCAGGGGTCCAAAAACCCCCGGGCCGCGGACCGGTACCGGTCCGTGGGTCATTTGGTACCGGGCCGCACAGAAAGAATAAATAACTTACATTATTTCCATTTTATTTGTTCACACATTTACCTGTTCACATATCGTGTCTTTTGCGCGCTCAAGTTTGTTATTTCAAATGTATGCGCGCTCATAATGGAAGCGACGCGCCCGTTTTTTCCAAGCGCGTCCGCACCGCCGCATCGAGATAAAAACATCTCAACTTTTCAGAATGCCGCAAGCGCACTGTAGGTCACGTGACAAGAACCAACCAATCATCTTCCACACTGTAAACTGCTGCACTAGTTACTAGTAAAAAATATTTTTACTAAAAATATTAATGCTCACAACTGATTGCTTGTTAAATCCATCATTGTTTATACAGAATTGTTCTATATTCTATATATAAATGTGTATGTGTTTGCTATTTCTGGTGTTTTATGACCACTTCAGTTATAGTCTAACCTCAGACAAATACAGAGCCGTTGCACAGGAGAGATAAGTTAGTTTCACGGCAGAAGCTCCGTTTACTGATGCTTGGGCCAACTTTTCTTAAAATATAATCAAACTGGTCCTTGTCCACTCTGAAATAGGCTTTGAACCTCCCATTGTCCAGGCGGAGCTCCTGAATCAGCTGGTGAAATTCCCCATGGTTTTTGCGTTTTCGTAGTATCGGTTGCACGGTCTTGCACCCAAACACTGCAGCGTTTTTTTTTTTTTACTCTTCTTAGTAAATAAATCTTGTAACAGAGTTACAGCAAGGGTTTTTCGGTGGTGGAAATCTATTGCTGAAATTTCCTTGCTGTAACGGAGCTGCAGCTGATGGTTGCTTAGCAACGACAGACGCCTCCGGAGTGCAACCTCGCGCCTAGCGTTTTCTACGCGTTTTTAGGAGCACCTTAAAGGCCGGTCCGTGAAAACATTGTCTGACATTAAACCGGTCCGTGGCAGGGGCGTGGCCACAAGGGTGGCACGGGGTGGCAGCTGCCACCCTAAAAATTAGCTTTGCCACCCCATTTGCCACCCCAGATGACAGCTCGGATACAGACCATTTTCGGTTGGTTTATGGAGGGGCGTCGGCTTCCTCCCCATCGGCTTTAAAAAAAAAGTTTATCTTACTTCAATCGATTGGGACACGAAAAGCACTTATCAAATATGATCTATAATTCTCAATAGTTTTAGTTTTATGTCTGATGTCTTTATTATGTAGATAAAGTGCATTTCTGCCCCTGCAGCAGGCTAGTGCAAAAGGCAGATCGGTATGAATCCATAGCACGGAGCGCTTCTGCAGTTACTGGAGTGTCGGACTCGTCTCGGAGGAAGAACGCGCTTGTCTTGTACAGACTGGACCCCAGAGACAAGTAGCCTATAGTTGTGAGAATCTCCACGAATACGAAAGCAAATTTTTCATTTGAATCGCACATTCTGACAGGTGTACTGGACGGTATTGAAATTGTCATTCAAATCACAGTGATTTCAGGAGACAAAACTTGACAAAAGAGCAAGTGAGAAATTATATATCTTAATTATATAAATGTTTTTAATTTACATTACATATTAAAAGCTTTTTATTTAATAGGCTATTCAACATTTGAAATAGCCTATCTACAAGATTGTCTTACTTGATTTGGGATTAATTACTAATTGCTATTAAAATGTAGATGTATCAAAGCAAATATAACCTAAGCAAATATTAAAATGGCAGAGCAATAAAATGTCTGCGTGAGCTAAATAATATTTATTGGGACAGTGTTCGTCATATAGTGATGTCACTGGCATATATTCACCCCTCCCCCATTCTTTAATCTTTTCGTCAGAAATACCACATGTGGCAGGCCCGTGACCACCAAGCTGAAGCTAGAAGTTTAGACTTTTCTCATTTTAATGCACAGAAGCAGGTAAAGTCAATCATGTGTCTATCTTACTCGTTAATCTAAAAAAGTTACATGAGTGGTGGTTATGTTAATGATGTATATTTTCAATCAATGCAAAGTTGCTAACGTCATTACACTAGGCCTACTAAGTAGTAGTACAACGCCTGTCCGCGACGACACAAGTGGATTTTCTTTTAAGGGGCGTTAGAAATACATTTACTTGCCTGACCGGACAAGTCGCCTGATTAAAACTTCAGTGAAACGTGAGAATGGTTCTGATTTTATTACATTCAGCATAGACAGTCACAGCGATTAATAATGGATAACGTTAGTGTATTTCTGGTAAAGATGAGTCCAGCGCTGCCTGTCTCTTTGTGAGAGACTTTAGGTGGAGAAATCAAACCAAATGAGCGTAACAGCACACGCAAGAAACTCACAGAAGAAACATACATTCAAAATGTTGTTTATTATTAATAACATGATACAGTTAACTAATAACATGACTAAGTTTTGCCGAATATTCTTACGATTGCAAATGTTACATTGATTTAAGTTAAATAAATAAGTAGTTAATATTAACCCTTTATAGGGCACTCATTGAAATACTTGGAAATTCTAAATTTCAACCATAGAGTGTTATTGGAGGATATTATAAGACTTCTAAACATTTGTGAGTTTTTAAAAAAATATATATTTTTAGGTTGGAAATCAAGGGCAATGAAGTTACCATATATGGTTCCTCGCCAGTCTAGGGTAATTTTTTTCCCTTAAAAAGTGTATATATAAAAAATCAAATAAAAACACATAAACTTGTTTGAAACATAAAAATATTTATTTAGGAACATTTTAAATTATTATTAGGAACATTTTATATTAAATTATTATTAGGAACATTTTAAATTATTATTAGAAACATTTTAAATTATTATTAGGAACATTTTTTAAATTATTATTAGGAACATTTTAAATTATTATTAGGAACATTTTAAATTATTATTAACATTTTTTTTTTTTCAAGTCCAGCGAA